AGGGTAACTTCCCTCCACCCCCCTTTTTTGAATTCAGGACCATCTCATCCACGCGCAGGCTGGAATTCTCTTTATCAGTCTAGTCTGTAAGATACAGAGTGGAAATCCCAGGTGGAAAGAATAGTGTGACCCAGTTTGTGCCCTGTGATAGTTTTCATGAGGTGCATGACACTGGTTTTGCTTCCTGTGAAACAGTGTGTAACGGACAAAATGGTACACTAGGAGGGTAATTACATATACTATAAAGTATTTAACGACTATGGCCTTCATATAGATTTTTTAGGGGGAGGGCCAGAATTTTCTAAATATAAATGTACTCATGAGCTTTATGGATTTGGTGATTATGTAAGACCCACTTGTATATCTGTCTGTTCTAGGGGTTTCCATGATGGCAGACAGCACTTTTGGAAGCCATTGTATGAGTTTCATCTTCTCCTGTTTCAGTTTTAGTGTTGGCTATTAGGGTTTTTTTTGCTTTGTTTTGTTTTTGTTTTGTCAGTCGTGGGGCTTGAACTCTGGGTCTGGGCGTTGTCCCTGAGCTCTTCAGCTCAAAGTGAGCGCTCTACCACTTACGCCATGGCGCCACTTCTGGTTTTCTGGTGGTTAATAGGAGATAAGAGTCTCACAGACTTTCCTGCCTGGGCTGGCTTGGAACCATGATCCTCAGATCTCAGCCTCCTGAGTAGCTAGGGTGACAGGCCTGAGCTACCAGCACTGGGTGAGTTGGTTATTAGTTTTATGAAAGCCTTCCATGGTTTCCTCCTAAGGAAGAATGGGTTCTGAATATAAGAAAGAGTTAAAGGAAGGAAGGAAGGAGAGAGGGAAGGAAGGAAAGAAGGAAAGAAGGTAGGAGGGAGGGAAGGAGAAAGGATGGAATGAGAGAAGGAAGTTAAAAAATATTTTTTGCATGCATTATAGGGAGAAAGTATGGAGATTAGAATTAAAGTTTTGCCTGATATAAATATAGTATGCCAGTGCATCTCAGAGCCCTAGTTTTATAAAGTTTTTTTTTTTTTAGAAGAAACAGATTTTAAGACATAAACGCCTTTGGGCTCTTCTCCCCTCCTTTAGTACCCTTTGGGCCTTGGTTCTGCCTCTCCCCAAATGGCCAGCAACCTCCAGCGTCATCTTTCCACAGATGCCCCTCCCTCCACTTCAGGAGGGTATAGGGCAGAGGAGAAAACTGGAAGTAAGGGTCTTAGTTTCTTTATGTGTAAAATAGAAAGAAAAACAACAGATTACCAGACCATTTTCTGGATTAAATCAAATCCTCAGGATCCCAGTCCAGAAAGGAACCCTGAGACACACCAATGGTCTGATGATATATACTTGACATGAATCTCCCCACTTCTAGTACTGAGAGGGGCTGGTGTCAGCGTGTGTGACAGGGTGGAGGAGTCTCTGGGGGAATTGTGTCTACCCCAGTTTACGTCAGGTCTCAGACTGGTTCTAGGCCCAAATTATTTGAGAGCTTCAGCAAAAACTAAGCTTTAAAGAAACCTTTTCTCACAGGTAATCCCTTTTGAATTTGTTTTTAAAGTCTATTTGTAAGCAGAGTAAGTGAAGAGAAGTGAAGAAGCATGTGGAGTTATTCTTAGAAAGCAGCAGCAGTAGTTAAATTCCCTTTTCAGCGGGTAGATAGGCAGGGAAGATGGTTTTCTCAGCAAAGGATTAGATATTAAATATTTCCCTTTCGGTGGTAAAAAACCATAATGAAGAAGAGAAAATGCTTTGGAAAATGAATACAGATACAGAAATAAACACCAATCAAAGGGTTTACTATCGTGTTGTTAGCAAATGAACGACTGAAAACCAGATGTGAGAAAATACGGATTTCAGCATTTGCAAAAGAATGGAGCTGATTCTGGGTTTTTTTGCTAGTCACATAGGAAACGCTGATAATCAATTGCTATCTTTTCTTAGATTCACAGCATGAATGTCCATTGTCCACTAATGGGCAAATTAGGGAATGTTTGTTTTGAGAAACTGCTGCAAAAATAGCCTCGTAAAACCAGGTTAGAGATACACTACATGCGTTTGGGACAGCAGGAAGTAAAATGGAAAACATGAAATTAGAATTCTACCTCTACAAACCACTTTGTAGGCAAAGGTAGTGGGACCTTCATTATCAGTTAAGACCTAGTTTGAGAACTAATTTTACTGGCTGCTGTCTAACTCAGCAAATTAAATTAATGATGAATGAGGAAATACTTAGCTAGAGAAAAGCACTCTGTCATTTTGCCTCCCATCAAGTGAAAACCAACCTATGAACACTGACAAAGTAAAAATAAGCTTCAGGACTTTTTAGAAGTGAAAGAAAGAAAAATTCCCCATTGACAAACATATTTGGATTTCCTCATGATATGTCTCTATCTCTATCTACATCTCATATATATGATTATATATTATATGTAACATGTCATATATATCATGTAGTACATATTATATATCATAATGGAAAAATGGTTGGATTGCCAAATGTTTTCCTCATTATATATATATATATATATATATATATATATATATATGCTATTATATATGTATATCAGAATGGAAAAATTGTTGAGTTACCCTCATTTATCTGTGCCAATTCTTAAGCCCATTCCCCTTCTTTTCTCTGCTGAATTCAAATCAACTGCTTTATGGCATGAATGAAGCGTTCTTGCAGCTATAACCTACCTGGTCTAATGCCTCAGGCCCTTGCAGATTTAGCAGGGATTGTTAGAGGTCCAGGACTCTGCAGATGTTTGATGACAAAAATTCTCCAACAGGCAATGTCCCACAATGGTATCCCAAGCATCTCCAGGGCTCTTTCTCACAGGGACTTGTAAGTATCAACAGTACACAGTCCTTCCTGACCCTCTGGCCTGCCCTTGTATTAAGTTGTGTGCTGGGTAAATGGAAACTTGAGGCTAGACTGCATTTTTAAAGCAGAGGCACCAGAGGTTTTTCAGAACAGTATATAAAAAAAAGCCCCGTGCAAACGAGAGTCTGGAAGACTGCGGGGCCTGCAGTGCAGAGTTCTTTATGAGTACAAGAATGACCTAGAGTCACAGAACTTCTCTGGGCCCAGGATTTTCTCATCATCAAATGTAGGCTGTAGAAAGTCGGGCTTCGAGCTCAGATATGCTTTGTTTGTTTTTCTGTTGTGGCTTGCTGATTCTAGCATCTGAGATTCTCTCCCCGTTCCCTTTAGAAATGGGAAGAAACTGATAATCATTGAAATATTTACTAAGCAAGCTCCTTCCCCCTCAGGACCTTCTTCTTGCTCCCTTGCTCTTGATTTTTGCTCTCTGGTGCCTGTTTCCTTTTAGACTCTCTTTATAATCTCAACATGGCCATCCCTGGCAACAGCTGCCATCTGGGACAAACCTTTTGTTATTTCTACCTTATCAATTTGCACTTTCAAATAGGTCTTTTGTGCTCTACCTATATTTGAAAAATTCCTCCCCGCTATCCTTCAGGACTTGAGTCTATGTAAACCTAGCCCCCTCTGTTCTAAACTTCACCTGTAGATTCCCCATGAAATACCTAATCCTGACAAACTGTGTATGTATCATTTGTATATTATATACTATTTGTATGAAAAATGCTACCTGTACAGAATTCTTCCCATAATCATTCACTTATCTCAGTAAATCCAGACTGATAGATGGACTAATAAGTGTCAGCATATGGACAGCCATTAAAAAGGAATACTTTGGTACTTTTTAAAACATTCCAAAGCTCATTGTTTAATCCTGGGACATGGACTGTGTCAAATAAGTTAGATCTTAACGCTTACAAAAAAGGAATGATTCAATATCTTTTTTTTAATTTTTATTTTTTTGTCGGTCGTGGGGCTTGAACTCTGGGTTTGGGCGCTGTCCCTCAGCTCTTCAGCTCAAGGTGACCGCTCTACCGCTTGAGCCACAGCGCCACTTCCGGTTTTCTAGTGGTTTATTGGCGATAAGAGTCTCATGGACTTTCCTGCCCGGGCTGGCTTTGAACTGTGATCCTCAGATCTCAGCCTCCTGAGTAGCTAGGATTACAGGCGTGAGCCAGCGGTGCCTGGCTGATTCAATATCTTTATAAATATGTGAATCAATCAATAGGTGACCATGTTTAGTTAGGCATTGGGATAGAGTAATATATTTTTTATTATTTTATTTTAGTTTTTAATTTATTTTCAGTGGCACTGGGGTTTGAACTCAGTGCCTTATACATGGATAGGCAAGATTTCTACCACCTGAGCCACAGCTCCAGCTCTAGTAGTACACTTTTTTTTGCTTTATGTGAACACCCTTCCCATCCATTTGATTCTGGCCAGTGATATTTATAATGTAGAAATCCTGTTCATGAGAATGTCTTAATTAAAATAGGCATTTCTTGCCTTAGAAATAAAGAGTTAAAAACTTTTTAGACCCTACCTTTAAAAGACAGCATTCTAGAGGTCATTTGTTCTGGTTGTTTTTATGAATGTGAAAATATTACCACTGCAACTAGCAAGAACCATAAATGATCCATTATTGCAAGTGTTCTAAAAAAATCAGAACAAAACTAATTTATTACAGTTCTGTCTTCATTACACACCACAGTTGGTGAGTTAAACACAACAAAAGTATCTTTTCTTTTAAAAGTGTCTACTAAAGATAAAAAGAATACAGTAACAATTGACATGTAGTTCATTACATTAAAAAATCTGATATACATATTTCTATTGCATGTTAGCTTGGTTGTTTCTTAAAACTATTACCAAAAACAAATGAAGAAACAAAAAAGAAGAAGGAAAGAAAAATCATTTCTGAAAGGCAAACATTCAACTCAGTTGATACATTATAGTACAGTCAACTAACATCATTCAATAAAGGTAACAGTCTAGTCTTAGCCTCTGCAGACCAGATTGCTACAAAAGGTTTGATGCTGCTTCCTGTCAGCTCTCTGGAGGACACAGTACTTCCTACTGATAGCTTCAGAAGAAGGCGTCAGGCCACTGGGAAAACCACAGACGAACCCCAGCCTGTCGTTAATTATTTTATTGAGCACTGTAGTTAGGACAGCATTATTGAGTTTAGCACAACAACTAAAATATAATAATAATAATATAATAATAATAATCTTCATAATAAGAATAAAAATCAAAACAAAATACCCAAAACAAAACAAACAAATGAACCAAAAAAACCCCACCACAAGCTGGAAAGTTACAGTCAGTGCCAGCCATGTCCAAACCCTTGCAACACACTACACTAATTAAAAAAACAAAACAAAACAAAAAACAACAACCAAAAAAACCCCTCCGAAATATGCACCTGCCCTCCCTCCACTCTGCCACAGACTTAGCAAAGTCAAAAAAATACAGAAGTCTTCCACTGGTTACTTTTGCGGAATAAAGAAAAAAACCAACCAACCAACCAAAAAGGTCTTTGTGCTCCTTACTGCCAGAAGCAGAATACGGGCTGCGTTACCACATGTAGTAGCTTCTGGACGTGTCCACCTGGGTGGGCTTGCTGTCTGTGGGGGCCTCTTTGTCTTTGTCACTGTCCCCTTCCCAGAGGTTAATGAGCGGCGGGTACAACTCGTTCAGGGGCACCGAAGAGGTTTTTTGCATGTACTTTTTAAGGGAATGGTGGTAGTTTTTCCTCTTGAACCTTTTGGCGACGTAGATGGCGGTGGAGCCCAGGCTGATGACGGCAAACAAGGACCCCATGACGGCGGCGAGCGCCGTGCTGGTGTCTTGGTCGGAGATGTCCAGGGCGAAGGCGGCGTGTTTGGTGGTGACGTTTACGCACGACTTCTGAGTCTGCTGGTGGACGCTGGACACGGTGAGACACACTTCGTAATCCGTGGCGGGCTGCAGGTGCGTGAGGTTGTACTCGTGGACGTCCACGGGGACCCTGGCGGTGTAGGTGATGTGGGGGTTGTCGATCTTCATCGTGGCCGACGACCATTTCAAGTTGGAGGTCATGACGTTGGAGTTCACCTTCCAGGACACCAAGATGGAGTGAGATTCCGTCTGCTTGACGTATATTTTCAGCACCTGGGTTCCGTCCACAAGGGTCCCGTTGACTTTAATGGTGGCCACGCGTGTGTCCGCCCCTTGGACGTTCTGGGCCACGCACGTGTACCTTCCCGAATCTTCGATCTGTATGTTGGAGATTTCCAGGGTGCCCTCCCCGCTCAGCCGGTACTTGTCGGAGCGCGTTTCCACCGTTATCTTATTCCCCTTGGGGGTGACCCAGTAGATTTCGGGTTCTGGCTCAGCCATGGCTCGGCAGTCCAGGAACACGGTGGTGCCCACATCCGTATTGAAGTGGTTGGGGAACGTGTCGTGGGAGATCATGGGGAGACACTGCTCCCCCGAGTCCTGGATCAGGACTTCCCGCACCTGCTGCCCGCGGAATTCCGGGGGCATGGCGCAGAACATGGACAGGGGCTCCATGAAGCGGATGTTGGTCTTGTTGGAGTTGATCCAGTGAGTGACACAGTCGCATCGCAGGGGGTTGCTGTGGATGCTGATCTCGCGCAGGTTCGGGAGGGACTCCACCGTCTTTTGGTAGACGGCGTTCAAGGCGTTGTTGTTCAGCATCAAGCTCTCCAGGGCGGGGACGCTTCGAAAAGCCAGGCGGTGGATGTAGGAGAGTTTGGGGTTGTTGGTAGCTTCCAGCTTGGTCAGTTCGGGCAGGTTATCCAGGGCATAACGGTCCACGGAGACGAGTTCTCCCATGTTGTTGATACCCAGCTCTTTTAGCCGGAGCATGTTTTTGAAGTCTCCTTCCTGTATTTTGTGAATGGGGTTTTTGTTGAGGTCTAAGAACTTCAGATTTGGAACCTTCTCCAGGGCAAGCTGAGGGACTTTGACCAGCTTGTTGTCATAAAAGGACAGGCTCTCCAGGCTATCCAAGCCCACCAAGGCATTTCCGGGAATATCAGTGAGATACATCCCTGCCAGGACCAAGCTCCTCAGATTGGAGAGGGGTCTGAAGTTCATATCCAGGATTCCAATGACAGGGTTCTCCCCAATCATGAGAATTTCCAGGTTGGGCGTGGAATCGAACCAGCGACTGTCAATCACCTTCAATTTATTGGAATTCAGGTGGAGCCTTAAAAGGTTTTTTAAGCCCGAAAAGGCATTCGCGGAAATAGTGCTAATCTGGTTGTGATTGATGTAGAGTTCTTGAAGGTTGCTGAGGTCTTGCAGACAGTAGTCGGTCATTTCCGTGATCTGATTTTCCTCCAGATGGAGCGTGGTGAGCTGCGTCAGGTTGGCTAGCCCGACCTCCTTAATGTTCGTGAAGTTATTCTGGGAGAAATCTAACTCGGTCAAGTTGAAGAGCTGTTGGAGCTCATCCACGGTCTTGGCGATGTTATTGCTCTGTAAGAGGAGCACTTGCGTGTCGCTGGACAGGTTGTTGGGGATCCTGGTGAGGCGGAGGTCATTGCAGTCAACGGTGGTGGCTTCCCGGTAGGTGGACTGGGGAGTGAACCAGGGGCGGATTTCACACACACAGAGCTGTGGACACTCATTGGTCAGGATGGAAGACTCTGTGAGTGATGTCATCACCAAGCTCAGCACCATTTGGCAAGCTGTGACCAACGTGCCCATCCTGGCCATGCTGGCTTTCCTGGACAAAGCTCTCCTCTGGACTACCCTCCAGCTCTCACAGAATGCAGACACGTTAAGTGGTGGTATCAAGAATTGAAAGTGGAAAATGTGGCATTCGAGCAAGTCTAGGTTGCAAATGTTTTTTAAGAAAGAAAAGAAAAGAAAAATTCTAGAGTCTGAAAGAATGCTTTTCTGGACTTTGCGAAAGGCAGGTTGAAGGCTTTTAACTGTGTCTCTTAATTCCAGTCATGTGCAGAGCTTTTCCTTTAAGTCGTTTTGGCCAAATCAACATCTGGAGATGTATCTGCAAATCAGATTGGTAAAAATGTTATGCATATTCTGTATACTTTCTACAATGCAACCTTGTGTTTGTTTACTGAAAGGGCATAGAGTCACAAGTCTAATAAAAGACATATTCAAAATAACAAAACAAGCTTTTAAGTCCCAGGATACACTTCTGTATCTCCATGTCTATATGGATATATACCTCATGTACTACACTAAAACTAGCTCAAATTCCTTTACTTTTGCAATTAGATACAACATGGACTACTAAACAAAGTCATTAAACATACACACATACATACATGCATACACTGACACCCATATACACTAATGCATTCTCCTGCTAGGAAAGCCCGAGAAAACTTATGGTATCATTCCTTTAAAAAGAAAAGACTTTGGAAACCACATATACACACACCATACGCACACATTCACACACACACACACACACACACACACACGCATGCAAATATACATTTTTGATATTGTAGGGGTTTGAAGTCAGGGCCTTACGTTTGCCAAGCAAGCACTCTACCACTTGAGCCACACCTCTAGCCCTTTTTCCTTTAGGGTATGTTTCAATTAGGGCCTTACTTTTGCTGAGGGCCAGTATCAGATAAGGATTCTCCTTCCTATGACCTCATTTGTAGCTGAAATTATGGAAGCATGCCACCATACCAGGCTTGCTTGTTGAGGTGGGGAATCTCATTCATTTTGAGCCACATCTGATTTTGACATAATACATTAAATAACTCTATTCCACTACACCAAAGGTCTTCATTAGAGACCCCAAAATATTCAATATATGTAAATATAAAAATTTACCTAAGGCTAAGTATATACCTCACCTAAGTATATATCTCATCTATCTGTATATACTTATATTTAGTGATCTTTATCATACATGTGGCTTCTTTAATCTCATGGCAAGGTCACTAACTACTTATTCTATGGTTATAGAATACAGTTGTTGTGGGGTTTTTTTCCCTCATACCATCATATTTTGGTGTCTCTTCCATTTGAGTCTTACTAAAGAGTGGTCATTAGAGGACAATTAAAAGAAAGAAAGCTGAAGATATTTCCTTTTATTGACCATGATCTACTAGTTTTAATGAGGTCAATCTATACTGGTCACCTGCTAATAAAGACAGTGCTGGTGGTTACTGGTTCTAGTACTCTGAGTGTAAATCACTTGTAAAAAGCCACTACAAATCCAGAGTTTGTTTTACTTCCCTAAGACTAGTTACTTGCTAATTATTAAAAGTAGAGTTATAGTTTCCTTGTATTTTTCCTGTTAAAATACACATTGGTTTTGAGTACTGACAGGAAGCAGTGTTTTCTAGAAAGACTCATTAAAATAGTGCAAACAATGTGTGAGAGCCCATTGCCCATGCATCCCAGGCCCCCACTGCCTGTCATCCTTTGACTTTATAAAACATGGTTAGCCTTGTGGCTGACCAAAAATACAGTAATATGAACAGCCAGTACTAAAAGGTATAGTTAAGTTGTCTTCTAGTGTAAAGAAAGGTCACACAGCTTTTTTGTTGTCTTACAAAATGTGCAAATCCTGTTACTGGTCTAAGGATAAAATCATCTACTCTAGACTCTGGTAAGGCTGGAAAGTCTGCAAGATGCTCAAAGCCTTGCTGGTCTGTGGGGAAGAAGCAGATTTGGCACTACTCTGCCTTGCCTTCACTCCAAATCTGGTTACTTTGCCATTAGTTATGTTTTTGCAGAACTTTCCAATAGTATAATAAAGCCACCCGACTGACATAGCAGTTAAGTTCTATAAAATAAAAACAAACCTTGGAGGATTATACTTCCAAATATCATTAACGCCACAGATTTATTTATTCCACTTGTTTCAGCTTGGAACAATCCTTAAAAAAAGTGCAAGGACCATCACAAAAGCATTAAGAAATTTTCTGCCACCAGTTATTCCTCAATCTTAATTTGAAATAGAAAGGCAAATGAATAAAACTACGTTCCGTAACTCTGAAATGGAATCACAACTAACTTTTGTGTTTTCACTGAATTTAAAGAATCATATCAAGATGTAAAATATGCATTAAAGTTGTATGAGAGAGGCTCCCTAATCGGTTTATCACTAGTGAAAAAATAGTTTTTGTGAGTTATAGTTTCAATAGTACCATGAGTATTGTTTCACTTCTGTTAAAATTATGAAATTGGAGATAGTTGTAATGAAATGTTCAAATTTGTGTGTGTGTGTGTGGTGTGTGTGTGTGTGTGTGTGAGAGGGAGAGAGAGAGAGAGAGAGAAAGAGAGAGAGAGAGAGGGAAGAGGGAGAGAGAGAAAATAGAATAGAACATCAAGCATCATATCAAGTACACCAGGGTAATATTTTCCTCTCCCAAACTTGTATTTGATCCCTTTGGAAACAGAGAGAGAGAAAACAAAACAAAACACTTCTCACAACAGAAAAGAATGTAGTAAAGACATATAGAGCAATAGAGCAGAGAAAGCAGAAATAAACTCTGTTGCATACTGATCTATGTTAAAAATAGTTTTTGAAAGCCAGGTACTGGTGGCTCATACCTGTAATCCTTGCTACTCAGGAGGCTGAGATCTGAGGATCAGGGTTCAAAGCCAGCATGGGCAAGAAAGTCCTTGAGACTCCTATCTCCAATAAACCACCAGAAAACCAGAAGTGGCACTGTGTCTCAAGTGGTAGAGCGCTAGCCTTGAGCTGAAGAGCGCCGCGACAGAGCCCAAACCCAGAGTTCAAGCCCCATGACTGACAATAAAAGAAAATAAAAAACTTTGATAAGGGCACCAACTGTCACGGTTAATTGGGATAGTCTCATGAACAAATAGTGCTGGAAAAACTAAATATCTAAGTGTAAAAGAATGAAGTTGGACCCCTAACTCCTATCACATACAAAAATCAACTCAAAATGCATTAAAGACCTACATGTAACCCCTAAAGATATAAAGTTTTTCATAATAAAACAGAAAAAGCTTCAGGACATTGATTTGTCAGTGAATTCATAAACATGGGATCAAAAGCTCTGGTAACAAAAGCAAAAAATAGGCAAATAGGATGATTTCAAACATAAAACTTTCTATGTGTGAATGGTAACCCTTTTGTATGTCTATTTAAGTAATTTAAAAAATAACAATTTTTATCTGGACATAAATAGCTTTTTGGTTATTACTTTCTTAACAATGTAGTATAACAATGGCTTATGTAGAATTCACACTGAAATTAGTCATCACTAGTAATCTAGACATGATTTAAAGTACTCTGTAGAGGAAGGCATGCACAGATCATAGGCAAATACTGCATCATCTTATATCAGGGACTTGTGCATCCATGGATTTTTGTGTCTGAGGGGTGATACCCATATCAAATCCCCTGTGGATACTCGAGGATCAGTGTAAATTCTATGGAGTAGTATGTAGCATTGAAAAAGAAGGAAAGCCTGTCATGAGGAGCAGTGCAGATGAATCTTGAGGAATTTGGGCTTGGGATGTAAGACAGTGGTAGAATTCTTGCTTGACACAGGTGAGAGGGTCTGCATTCAGTCCCTCAGCACCACAGAAACCAAACAAACAACAGAAGCCAAACACAGCTTACAAACATCCAACCTAGAAATTAATCTCGCATAGTCAATGTAATCACAACAATAGGAGACAAAAGTTTTGATTCCCCAACTGAACATGTCTCAAGACATTGCTTTGATGTGCATACTCTGACTAGTGCATAAATACATGTTACATTGAAAAAAATATTCTTTTTTGCTCTCTCAGTCTCCAAGTAGATGCAACTAGTAGCAATGTATTTTCTTTTGCGAATGGCTTCATCAATTGGAGGAGTGGGAATCTTTATTTCTGGCCCTGTAGGGTTAAAAAAGAGAGAGAGAGACATTGTCTCTGTATTTTCTTTTTGTATCTGTGTCCATGGGGCTAATATATAGCCAGACTTCTCTCTGTGGACTCAGCCAGACTGACCAAAAGATCTCCCTGCATGTGAGAGCCACTATACTGCAAACGAGGTGTTTGTTAACACCTCCACGACCCTTCAGCTTGGGATCCAGGGGTACAGCTTAAGGAGCATGGCTTTCAGAGAGACAGACTGTGTTTCAGATTCAGCTCTGTGACCTTGGACAAATTACTGAACTTTTTCTGTCTCTATTTCCGTATTTAGAAAATGGAGATCATAAAACCTACTTTGCGAGAATGGCGAGAGAATGAGAATGCATTATTAAATGTACAGCTTTTGGCAGAGGGCCTGACACCTATCAAGTGCCCAATTGATGTTAGCTCTTCTTATTTACAAGTTTGAAGTCTCTTATATTGAATCTGAATCTTTTTCCAGCAGCACTGAGGATGAAAGGGTGGAGTTGAAATCAGGACAGTGCCTTTGTAGTAGGATCAGCTATGAGTTCTGAAGCTTAACGTCCAGGTCTGCTGTAGGCGGAGCCGAAAGAGAGAGACCACAGCAATTTCTTTGTGGCGGCAATACTTTATTTCCCTCGGGAAGGAAAGAGAGACTTGCAAATGCATTCTGCATGCTGAATCAGCACAGACTACTCTTAAAAAGACATTCATTTCTCCAACTTTTATCTGGCCCCTGACCCTTTCTGACTCTTGGCTTTCTTTGTCCAAAATTATGTTTCTGGCTCACACGTTTTCCCAAAGCTGAACACCCTGTTGTGTGTGTTAAGTGATCACAGATGGAGAGCACGGGAGGGAAGGCAAGCAGTAATAGTCTCCATCATGCATTAGGAAACAATAAAGTGCATCACTTTCCAAGGACATAATGGAGCTCCCTGAGACTTGTTTGCATAAGGAACTGTTCCTCAGAGCCCATGTTCTTCACTGGAAAGCAGTGCAGAAGTCTGATGTGTGTGAGCTCAGCCACAGAATAAGGCTGTACTTCACTTTCCGGGTGACTTTGAACCCGCCCTGTACCTTTCCATCCTCTCTTATTTATCTTGTAATAAGTATGTTGAGAGGAAAAGGACCAACAACTTCCCAGGTCAAAAAGAGCCTCAA